GGATGGGGCGCGCAAGCGGCCAGATGGGGCGGGGCGCGGGCGGCAGTGGAGTCCTGCGGCTGGGTGGGATATAGGGCAATGAGCGTTGAGCAGTGTGCGATGAGCAATGAGCAATGAGCAGTGAGCAGCCCCTCCCTAAACAAAGTGAAGCGCAGGACGGGGTCCGGTGGATGGGAGGCAAGGAAACGCGGGGGGTTGCCACGTGCGCTACCGCCGCCGCCGCAGGCAGCACCCCTGCGGCGGCGGCAGCGGCAGCAAGCCGTGGACCCAAACGCCGTGCCGCCGCCGCCGCAGGCAGCACCCCTGCGACGGCGGCGGCAGCAAGCCGTGGACCGAAACGCCGTGCCGCCGAGTCCCGTGGCTGTGGCCGTGGGCTTCTGGCAGGAAACTACGGCCGCAACTCGGCAGCACGGGGGCGTCGCAGCGTGCCCCCGCCGCCGCCGCGCTGCCCCCCGGGCACGGCGGCGGCGGCAGCAAGCTTGGGCCCAAACGCCGTGCCGCCGAGTCCCGTGGCTGCGACCGTAGACCGTGGGCCGGAAACTGCGGCCGCAGCTCGGCGGCACGTGGTTCTGTTCAAATCGCCAAGCGTGCAGCAGCGCCGAACCACGCTTCCCGGCCTCGGCGCATGCCTTCAGGGGCCCCCTATCGCTGGGCACACCCCTCCAACACCGAACATGCGCCCGGGGGGGAGGGCGGCCCGGGCTGCCCAGGCCAAAGTGGGCCGCCCTCGAGCAAGAGGCGGCCGGTTTGTGTGCTGAATGAATGAATGGATGCGTACTACTCGAAAATAGCAGCAGCACGCTCAATACCCTTGCCGGGTTGAGTGGCGCCAGTGTTTCCCCTTTGGCCAAATCGCCCCCCCTCATACATGCATTTGTGTGACCGGCGCGGCCACACATGGTTGCCGTGCCCGTCTCTGCAGGAAGCTGTCTGTTTGCTGATTCACCCAACAACAGTAGTTATGTATACGTGATGGCTGCCCCGTGCCCAGCTGCTGCGCTACAGCTGATAAAAGATCACCATGCACAAACGGCAGAGACAGAGATCTCTAGATGGGTGGGGCGGGTCGGTGGGGGTATCGTATGGTGCACCGCCTCGCGGCAGATGCCACTGCCTGCCGTCACCAGTGGCAAGCTGCCACCCCCGCTCTGCCCGTCATGTGACCATCACCTTCTCTCCTCCCCCCACCGCTTTGCATCCAGCAACAGCCTTTACTTCCCCAGCTCCACATCACAGCACATGCTTGCATTACACTCGCCAGCTCTGAGCGGCGCCCGCAATGCCAGCAGCAGCCGCTGCTTGGTGCAAAACACTGTGCGCAAGGGCCATGTGGTAGCATGACATGCTTGGCACGCCCGCCACAACGCACATGCACGGCAGAGTGTCTCCAGCGATGCTTGGTTGGGACATTGGCGTCGAATGGCAATGCGCAGCTTCTGCAACACATGCGGCACTGTCGGCAGGTGGGGCGCCAGCAAGTGTGGCCGTGGGCGCTACCGTGCCCGGGGCGACAGCCCCAAGGCCCAGGGCCCCGAGGCGAGGCCCTGGAGGGAAAAGGAGGGCAGCGCGCCGCCCTGCCCCTCCTGCCAGGCCGCAAAGAGGGATGTGAGGTCTGAGCTGAGCGTGGCCATGGAGGCCGCCCAGCCCAGCTGGGACACGCCCGCCAGAAGCTCGGGATCGGGCTGCTGCGGGGCAGGCCCCAGGGCCAGAGACACCTGCCGTCCGTCGGCCGGCTCCAGCACCAGCGACAGCTGGCGCCCCGCGCCGCCGCCGCCGTCGAGCAGGAGGGAGAAGAGCGGGGCGGGGTCGCGTGGCGCCTCCGCCTGCTGCTGCTGCTGCTGCGCCGCTGCCGCCTCGCCCGCCAACGCGGCCTGCCCCTGCCCCTGCGCCGCCGCCTGGCGCTGCTGCTGGCGGCGCGCGCGGGGCGTGGCGGGCGGCTCCTGTGCCGCCACATGCGCCGCCGCCGCCGTGGCGGGCAGCGGCACGGCGGCGGCGGCCATGAAGGGGCTGGCGGCGGTGGCGGGCGAGGCGGCCGCGGTGCCGCAGAA